GCTTTAAGGTGACAGTGAGAGGAACTTGAATGTGTCCAGACAAACTATTTCATCGATTATTTACCAACGAGTTGTGGTTTGAGTTGTGGGCAATGCGACTAAAACAGTAATTGAAATTCAGCACACTATTTTTTAAAACGCGTTGCTTGAATAAAACTGACCAGACACATTCACATTACCTGACTATTGAACAACTAGGAAAAGTGAAAAAAAATACTTCTTATTGCCAGCATAAATGCGTAATTATTTTTTTTACAGAAAAAGTAATTTTTCACCTTTGATTGAGTAACACGTCATAGAATGCAGATACGAGCATGCAAAATACACTTGTGAAAAGCTTGAAGTCTGGCGATTCTAAAAATATATACTTTCCTTTGTAGTCATTTAGTCACAACTGGAAGATGAAAACAAGTATGCAAATAATAGTCCCGCTACCTTAAATGGTTTTACAGTAACTATAAAGAAAACTAATAATAAATTCAGTTTGGAAAAAAATGTTAATAAAAAATGTTTAAGTATTTATTTGACTTTTTAGTGGGTACTCAGGAAGAAGAGTGTACTTTAAAAACTTGTTTTGTTTTTTTTATTTTAGAGAGTATATTCAATAATAAATATGGTAGTGATGCAGAATATAAACTAGAAAGTGAGTTAGATATGTTAACAGAAAGACAACAGAGGATATTGGTTGCTAAATATAAATGGCATAATGCTCGTGTACTTCTGCATCATGCAACCAATCAACTGGCATTCTCTGTGAAAAGATGGGGAGATGTCGCTAGGATACCACCAGGGTAAGTCTCTCATCTTTTATTATTTTTTGTTGGAGGGAAATTGGTGGAGAGAAATGTGTTTTTAGATACAATTCTGTTATTAAAGTCTGCACACAAGACATCTTTTCAAATGTCAAGCCTTCTCATATTTGTATGAATATTTTTTTTTATAATTGCTACTTATCCCCCAGTGGTAATCATAATAAATTTATTCCTCTATTAGTTGGACAATATTGTTATACTTTTCAATCACCTGGTTATCAATTCACCTCTTAATAATGAAAAATCAAATTTTAATGATTCAGCCACTCAATTTTTTTTACTTTTCTTTCTAACAATTCAGCCATCTTTGAAAATAATTATATTTTCATGGCTCAAATAATGTAGGGGATCTGGTACCGGTAATACCCATTGAGACTGCAAGACTGCATGTACCTATGACACCACACATAAATGAAATTAAGGTTATTTTTTCTGAATTGAAAATTAAATTTCATTTTCTCAATATGTGAGTCTAAGCCATTGAAATAAAATTAACTTTTACCATAATATTTGTATTGGTCTGACTGAGCTGTATATCTCATTTCACATAATTTGTGAACAAGCAAAATCACCCTCCCCCACCATTTTCAAACTGTCAGGATATTAAGATTTCATTTATATTTTCCCCTAGATATACACATGTTAAAGCATTCCACCACTGTTGCTACACTCAATATGTTGAGTTGTTTTGCTGTCAATTTGAAAACCATTAATCCAGATATGAATAACATGTATGAACAGTTGTTTCATTTCATTCAAATGTTGATCTGTATGTTTTGCCCTTTTCCTGTTGTGCAAACATTGAACATTTTTTAGGAACAGAAACATGTAAAGAAATATGAATCCAGTCATGATTGCACACGGAACATAACCGGACATAGCTGTGCACTTCAAATTGAAGTAGTGCTCATTGTGCCATGCCACATACATCGAGAAATGCACATAACTTTTACTATTGTCCTTAATTTTTGCATTGAGAAATTGTCGTTCATATGTCTAGCCACAGAATTTGAAGCTTTGCCATCGTTATGATCAGCTCATATGAAAATTGTATGAGACAGCATGGTATTTGATATCATTGCTGATATTATGGGATAGAACTATATCTGCAGATACAATTTGATGGTTATTGATAATAGATGGATGCTATCATGTTACCCTAAGTGTCCTGTCTTATCAGAATATCAGTCTACATTAATAATCATGGCATGCTTGGGGGCTATAGTAAGTCATGTGACTCACTTGCAACAAGATCTCTGCAGCCATTTGCAAATAATGTCTATTGCCACAGGTCTCATGCCACTAATCAACCAATTTAAATGCCTAGCAAGAACCAATGAAATTTTTTATTAAATATTTTTTTTCTCAGGTGCTCCCTGTTTGAGGGTGTAATCACCTGGGTCAGAGGTGAGACCAACATGTGGTCTTTTGTTTACTACTTAGCAGCTGTGTACCTGTGGGTTTATTCTGTGTGTATTTGGATGTTCTAATCTTGGTGTTTTTCCAGTGATTTCTCTTGGTGCAATCCAAATACAGTCGGTGTGTCTCGTTTACCTGCGATTTGCAAGAGTTTGAGCTGGCCAACATGTTAGTTTTTTTCATATGGTTGATTACTGGCATGTTGATTTCCCATTTTTGAGCCATATTTAGCTCCACTGTTGACTTTGTCGAGCGGAGCTTATCATATGAGTGATTGTCCGTCGTTGTCGTTCGTGTCAATGTTTTACTTTTTCGACTTCTTCTTGAAAACTACAAGCCTGAATGCTTTGATACTTGGTGTATATGTATTTTGAGTAGACCTCTCTTAGGTTTGTTCATTTCATGTTGATATCTTCAATTCTCTAATTTTGGTGAATATTTTTGTCATTTTTGGTAAAAAGTGATATTTTCGACTTCTTGTTAAAAACCAATAGTTCAATTGCTTTGATATTACATATATAGATACTACCCCTGGTACATGTAGACCTTTCTCAGATTTGTTCATTTCGTGATGATATCTTCAATTCTCTAATTTTGGTGAATATTTTTGTCATTATTGGTAAAAAGTGATATTTTCGTCTTCTTGTTAAAAACTGTAAGTCTGATTGCTTTGATATTACATATATATGTACTACATGTGGACCTCTCTCAGATTTGTTCATTTTGTGATATCTTCAATTCTCTAATTTTGGTGAATATTTTTGTAATTTTTGGTAGAAAGTGATATTTTCGACTTCTTGTTAAAAACTGCAAGTCTGATTGCTTTGATACTATACATATTGTTCATTTTCTAATGATGTCTTCAGTTCTTTAATTGGAATGTGCATTGCTAACAGCGGAGCTATCTCAGCCAAGAGGCTGCTTGTTTCTACTTTCTTCGTCATTTTCATATAGCAATCTCGTCATATGTTTATAACATTGTCGTCTATGGAAATTCAATTAGTGGTATGAGCCCCACAATATAAGTGCATCACTTGTGAGGATCTATTCATGTTTCGATTTCTCAACATGCGTGTGTGCTACCATGTATCTCCATCTGTATCTCGGACATACCTGGTTCGATCAGACTCAAACTTCACAATTACATCACATATATACTAAGGTTCTATTCGAATGGCAGCCATTTTAATTTATCAAAATCTAGCATTTCTGCCATTCTGGAACTGAATCTTGATCATGTATGGTCGTATATCGTTCAAACTATTTACATTCATTACACATGATGAGATCTTGATTTACATCATTTTGTTTTTTTAAATCAGATTCAAAATGGCTGACAGGTGGCCATTTTGTTTTAATGGTTGCTGTTCCAGAGCCATATCTCTGATATTCTTTGACTGTTTATGCTCAAACTTTATATATTTCTTAAATTTGATAGTTCACAGGGACTATGTAATGCAATTACTAAATTTTAATGCAATCTCATGTTTTTTTTGTAATATTTATATTTTTTAGAAATATGAATAATTTATATCAAGCTTCAGCTGAAACTAGAAACAACTTGATTGCAGCATCACAAAACATCACCAGTGCCCAGAGATACTTAAACACAATTAAATTCCCATACTGTACACCACAAGAAATGCAGACATTGAACACCGCTATTGCTAATATATTCAGTGATATGAGAGATGCAAATAGACATCAGCATGCCATGGCGTGTTTTGCTACAACACATCGTAGAGCTGCAGCACTTGTACAATGGTTTGATCAGGTATGTATTACCTTACTATGTACACGTGGTGAGTCTCACATAAACAGAATGTGCACATAGCAACCAATTTCTGATGATTGTTCCAAATCAGGTTAACATTGGTACTTGTAAAAACCTTGGATTAAACAAAGGGAAATTTCAGGGCATTCAGTGCTCAGCAGTGATATTGATAATTCTCAGCAATTAATACAAGTTTTGGTAAAGAATACTCAGTTTGCTAGTTTAGTACTTAATTAGAATTCTTTACTCGTTTGAACACCATACTTATTCTCTTGTTGGTGCAAGTTTTTATTTTACTTTTTTTTTCAACTATTTTGAAGCAGAGAACACCATTCCATTATTTACTCTTGATAAAAATAAAATAAAAAATGATTACAGAAAATAGAAGTCAATTTTCTTTCTCCATGTGCCACGTTAGAGGGAATACTTCATCTTTTTGGGAAAAACAAAATTGAAAAATGAGTTGCATCATCATTAAATCCCACAACAAGCACTTAAATTTAAAAAAAACAAAAATGATCACAAAAATACTTACATTTTATTACAATATTATTTACATACCATTTTTGTTGTTGAATGTTTTTTGATCATACACAAACTCTTCAAGCAAACAATTTCTGCTACGTCCTGACAAGGTCAAATCTGTTATTAACAGAATGCAGTGTTCTATTGACGCAATTCTCTGAGAATTTCCAAATATTGACGATAACATTGTTTAAAAAAACTGGTGATTCACAATATTTGAAAAGTAACTTGAGTGTGGAAAAAATATATACCTATAAATAATACCTTTCACGATAGTGAACGTATCATGTTGAAGCATAGTTTCGCCGTTTACACCCTATTCACAATGGACACTGTAATTATTTGGAAAAATTAAACGATGGCCCAATTAACGATGACCCACGTCATGAAATGACTGGCTATAAAGTAAACAAGTATACAGTAATATGCAACTGTCTTTTTTCTGTTTTTAAGCACAGGATATATGTTTATGTTTTGCATATTTAACCATCACCTGGTGATCGTATACATTAATAAATTATTACTATTATGAGAATTGTAATGCATTTTTATTACATGCTGAAAATTTTCATAGAGACTTGAGATGAATAGAAAAAAAAAGGAGCAGGCATTGTGTTAACAATTACACAGGAGAATTACTTTATGAAGACATCACTTGTTTTTGTGCCTTGATGTCTTTCCAAATACAGATTTTCTACATATTTTTTCCCATATACTGATTTTACGCCCATGTTTGGAAATTTTGCATTAAAAGTTGAACCACAAAAATGCTGATTGTATCATGGTAATGTGTTTTCAGGTTATTAATGGTACAATTATGACTGATATTAATACAGCTAATAAAGCTGTAGATGCAAAGAAGAGGGAATTAAGAGCGGAAAGAATCAAACTCATTAAAGAAAAGATAAAAATAAGTCAAGGAACGGATGTCACAACTGAGTATAATGCGCAGATTGGATCCTCAGGTAAGTTGACACTTGGTGGCGCTGTTCAATTCAAGCATTGAGTTCATGGCTGGCTTTCTTTTTTGTGATTAAATCATTTATTTCTCTCAATTTAATGTTTTTCTTCATCTCTGACTTTATTGGTGTATATACCATGAGGATAACAGTAAACCAGTAAAATATATCTTGAGTGTGCTGCATTGAAGTAGGTTTCTGACACTAGAGGGCGCTCTGCACACATTTGTAAATTCTTAAAATTTTTCCAGATTTTCAAGATGATCCTGATGCTGAATTGGCAAGGTTGGTCGAGGCTGATGCTGTTTCCATGGCTGGTGATCTTTCACAGGTAAAACATATTAATTTGACAGAAATATGATGTTTAAATATCACAGTATTATTTTTATCACAGTTTATTGAACAAGACAGTAATAAAAGTTCAGTTTGGACAAATTGTCATGAATTTTTTCTTCTATTTTTGTTAACCTGCGTCAAACACATTTTATTCACAACTAATTCAAACCAATAATGTTATAATAATGAAAATTCTTCCAAAAATCAACATCTTATTGAGGCCAGACTTTTATTATCCCTTGTTTCGCGAACCCCCGGAATGAACAGGTGCCGAAAATGAAATAAAATAAAATTTTATTTCAGCGTAATTTCTCGCGCCCGCCGACTTGTTAACGCAAAAGATTGCTTAAAAAATAGTATTTTTATCTTAATTTTTTTACTGCCTGCCGCATACCAAATCCAAGTTGCATTTCCGTGGGAGTATCATGATCAAAGTACCGAAGTCTTGCACATATGAGAAACAAGGTTATACATGGAATAAAATTTTATTTCATTTCTTCTATTCGATCAATGATCTTACTTACAATTCTTTGAGAATCACTCAAATCTAATGGAAAAAAAGAATTAATTTTTTTTTTTTTTTCGCTCGCCTCAAAAAAATTGCCTTATAAAAACATGAGAAACAAGGAATAAAAAAAGTCTGGCCTGAGCAACTAAACTTCAGTTTAATTTGTCTTGATGAATTATCTTAATTTAACACCATTATTCCACTAGTGAAATTATACTGATATTATAGTGATCATGAAAAACATCTTATTGTAGATGTAGTTATGGAATTACGAAATTCTCATTTTATAAACAAAATAAAATCTGAGACCACAACATTTTGGTTTGTGTCTTCAGAAACTCCCTTCAGCCACATACAATGTTTATTAATCCATGGAGACCTCTCTTCCCAGTAGTCAACAAGCTGGCTGATTTTATTTTGATTTTCTACAAAATCAGTCCTATTGGAGAGCACACTGATGTGTACAGTGTGTACCACATATATAGCAACTTAGTTTTTAAGCATGTCTTTGATTTGACTTTTCTCAGAGCCTTCCAGAAAGTAAAGAAGATGGTGCTGCAGCTCCAACTCCCCTTCCAGCTGGTGAATTAGCGCCACCACCAACCTCAGATGATCTTTTTGGTAAAAATTGCAATTATTATCAGTTATAATAAAAATTTGCTGCTTTACCAGCGGTTACCAGCGTGCTTCTGTCTATATTGAACATTGTTGGAGATTTAGAAATTCAACCAGTGCTTTATTGAAGATCTGATCAAAATACTTAATAACAATATATTGTCATGTGACCTCATTACAAATATTTGCAATGAAGAAATTATACGGATTTCAAATTTGTGAATGATGACAACGGTATTAGCATTTATTTGATTGTACTTGATTATTCAATTTTCATAACTAGTGTCCTTTGTTCCAATACTCACCTTAAAAGTACAGTAGCAGGTTTGTTGTTTTGAATTAGACATTGTTTATGTTGTGGTGCTTCTATTAATTTAATGGATTAAACATTTCAATAGTTGAAGCTAATATGTTACTGAAGTTACTCCTACACATCTTATAAGAAATGTATATTTCTTATTTTTAGGTAATATTGAAGAGTTGAAGAAACAACATGAAGAAGAATTAGTGCAATTAGAAAAAGCACAAAAAGTAAATAAAGCGAGGGCTGATCAAGACTTACAGGATAAATTGGCTCGACGTAGAAATCGGCGCCGCAAGATTCAACAACAAGAGTCAGAGGCAAATGCCCTTATGAGTCAGTAAACTACTATGAATTTACAGTGAAGGCAATATATATTTATATTGACTTGTTATGAGGGCAACAGTATATGTTTATTGATGCGCCATATGACCAACCATGTTGGGACTATGAGTGTGTGTCTATGGCCATAAAGAACTATGAATATGGGAGTTCGTAATTAGGGGGGGGGGTCGTAATATGGGGGTCCTAAAATTGGGGGCCTAATACAATGTAGTTTCCAAAGCTTGTAGGATGATTAAAAGAGAAATGAAAACACACATACTGTTGCCTGAATATTAAAGTCAGAAGGTGTGTCAACACAATGCATGTGATTTCTGCTTCAGAGTGATTCTGTTCTCCTATATTCTGTTATACTAAAATGTTGTACAAAATGATAATTGACTCAAAAAGACTGACAGGTAAATTGCTTTTTTTGGTAGAGAATTTACATATATATAAACACATATATAAATACATATAAACAAAGCCATAGTGAGTTCACTGACAAAATGAAACTACTGTCATATGTCCTTCTTTTGTAATTTAACACCAGGGTAATTCACATGTAAATTGACCTCTATCATAAAGGCCACCTGTCTAATGTGACCATGTGATCCCCCTTTTGGCACCAGTATGGTCGAATAAACACATGTATAAAGGCGAAAATGATGGAAGATAAGTTCATGTTTCAGTCTTTAAACTGACATTTTCAAGGGCATTTTTTGACATATTTTTTTTTATTAATTTCCTTCTTTAAAAAAATCTGTTGAAAAATCATCCTTTAAACTGAGAAATTATCACCATTTTGTCCTACATGATTGAGTAACCAATCTCCATTATGAAGGGCATCTGAATTTGTGAAAGTACATTGAGTGGCTATCTTAGATGGTCACTACTATTGGTGGCTATCTTAGATGGTCACTACTATTGGTGGCTATCTTAGATGGTCACTACTATTGGTGGCTATCTTAGATGGTCACTACTATTGGTGGCTATCTTAGATGGTCACTACTATTGGTGGCTATCTTAGATGGTCGCTACTATTGGTGGCTATCTTAGATCATCACTAATACAGGTGTGTAATATTGGGTATTCCTGCTAAGTAGTTTCAAACATGATGGGTTTTCGACCATTGACAAGAAAGTCACAAAGATGCCAAAAAATACCCTGATTAACACCTGCTAGCAGTGGTTGGAATGGTGTTAGATAAAAATATTTTATGTCTTATCAGCTTCATTTACAGTTTCTTGATTTATTTATTTCAACCTAACAGTGGAATAATTTAACTCACTGAAGCCATTGGATTAACAAAACAGAAAAACAATATGAGATCTCAGGATAGCACTGATTTGATATTAATGAAACCTTTAATGCATGGAGCTATGGCCGTATTTTTTCTGAGGTGTCAGTTGGAATATTGAAGGCAATATTTAGATGGCAGTAAGAAAATTCACTGGTCTTTGCGTATTTTTGAGTTGTGATGAATTCCGTAAATTGTTTAATTTTCAATTTTGAATTTTCACTCCTTATTGTAAGACTCGAGAGAAATTTCCACTGCTAGAAAATTTTGTGATTATCACCACCTTGCGAAATATATGAAAATTTGTCTTACATTTAAAGTGGTTTATTGTTCATGAATACAATAGAGTTTGTTAGATACTCTGTAGTTAAAGCTGATGCATTATACAGGGTTTTATCACAACAGTGGATTTTGAAACATTTTATATTTCAATCTTTTGATAAAATAAATCTCAATATTTTTTACAAATAAAGTTAATGGTGTTAAGGGTAAATGTTTTTCAAGTTCAATTGTAGAATTCTATAAGGAAATACACATTTTTACTGACTTTGTTTACAAAAAGTCACATTTTGAAATTCTTGATGAATAGTTATAACACTTTTAACAGTTTTCTCATCATTAATCTAAACTTGTTCTTTCCCAAAGTCATTTTGCACATTTTGATTGGTCACTTTAACTTTTGATGATTTAATTTCATTGGTCATTGAAACTTGTGTAATAATTTCTTACAATCTGATTGGATGCATGCAGCCTTTGACTTTGTATAGCCCAAATTTTGTTGATTATACTTCTCATCATCTTAGCTGCATATAATTTTGATGAAAATATTGACTTTAATTTGTATATATTTTCTTAGCTGGTTTTATTTAACAGATTTTTAGACAACCAAATATACATATCAGATATATTTTATTTGGATTATTACTAAACCATTAGGAATACATTTGTAAATACTTAGCTGTATCAGATTTTATTGTTGTTGATATTTTTCATAGAATGTTATTTTGGAATTGAGAGAAGTACGTCCCTGACTTGTGTTTTATTTTTACATTTATTCAATTTGACTACTGTAAGCTGTTACAGTGACTTAATGTGGCACAGCTCATGTGACCTCCCCCATATTTAGATAGGTATAACATAACCACATGGATGATAAATTTACATATATGACGCTACAAAGACAGTTGAAGAACCATGTTCTATATTGAACTTTTCAAGGTTCAATATTTTAAAGGCATTTATTGAATCACTCCAATCGCCAAGTTGCTCAGTGACCTTTCTAAGTTTCTCAGTGACCTCACCAAGTTGCTCAGTGACCTCACTATGTTGCTCAGTGACCTCACCAAGTTGCTCAGTGACCTCACCAAGTTGCTCAGTGACCTCACCAAGTTGCTCAGTGACCTCACCTAGTTGCTTAGCAACCTAATCTTTTGACTCTCTGTTCATAAAGAATCCCAGTAAAATGTATGTACAATACAATATGAAGTTTGCTTTTTTTTATGTATCAATATTTACATTATACCAGCCAATAACCTGTATCTTAATGTGTTATCTTTAATTAGCTGACTGCTTCTATAGTTAATCCAAATGAATTATGGAAAAAATCTACAATTTATGACTGTCTTTAAAAAGATATATTTAAAAAAAAACCCAATTAGTCCTGCATCCCAAATACATTAAAGGGCAGTGGTTGTCTTGTTGCTTCGTGTTTGATATGGGACACAACACATGTAAAATACACCATTTGTGTACATGAAATTTGAAAATCCGCTGCATGACTACCATCGCCCTTTAATCTGTCCATGCACTTCTTACACAGTGTACGTGTTCGTAATTTTTCAACTATGACCATGTATTTATATGCTGACTTGATTGATAATACTCAACACATTGAATGCATTATCAAGTTTTTAACATATTAGTCACAATAAATATAGACTATACCATCATCTGTGGGCTACAGTACAGTATATGTTACACAGTGCATTCATACTTTACCCACCGCCACTATGGCTATGGTAAATAAAAATGTCACTTGTAATTCAAGGCCAGGCATTTGCAATGTATGGTTACTAATATAAATCACTTTATTGTCACATTCTTTAATATTGCATATTCTATTTATATTCAGATTTATTCAGGTTTCTTGATATGAGTTTTTGTTTGTGTATTTTATATCATTATTCAAGTTATCTTGATGTATATTTTTGTTCTATACATATGTGCCTTTTCAATTGTTTTTTAATAAAAATCACTGAACTTTTTATTTTGCATTAATTATGGCATTATAAAAATAGAATGTTAAGATGCATTTAATATGCTTCCTGTGAAAACTAGTTAGTAGTGGAAATAATTTTTTTTTTATTATAACCAGACCTGAAAAAAAAACATGATATTAAGACACATAAATGAAATGCATTTCCATGCTGCTACTGGCAGACTACACCTACTTATAAGAGTAAGTACCGGGTAGTCAATGCAAAGTTTCACTAAGATTTTGACAATCAAGAAATCAAGAAAGTAATCACCTAAATTGTATTATTTCACACATACAAAATGTACTATTAATATTGGGTGCCTAATAAGATATTTGTACATATACCGGTATTATCAACAGATATTACAAAATATAGTTTGTCATTTATCTACCCCTCCCTCATATCATCATCTTCATAAGGTTAACATCAGTGTACATTATCAATTTCCAGCTTACAGTAGGCACTGATAATTTACACTGGTATTTACCAAGTAAACCTTGATAAAGTGAAGCATTCCATTCAGTAAACCGGCTATGAATGGTCCTTCAGGGGTAGATAAAAGACGAACTATATTTTGACAATATATTTTTCCTACTCTCTGTGCTACTGATGAGAGTCAAAGGTCAGTTAGGCTAAGTCTTTTCCACGAAACAAAATAAAACGAAACAAAACAAAACCCTAACCCTAACTCGCATTTTTTTTCATAGGCCTAATAATATCTGAGAAAATTTCACACTGTGAAACACACAATGAATAGCGCCATCAGTGTTCAACAATTCCAAAATGGCTGTCATGTCATGTCAGCACAAATGAATCAAGTTGCAAAGTAGGCGGAAAAAGAGGTGGAAATTAATATTCTCCACAAATATATTTCTGTGATGTGGCGATGTTTGAAGTCGTTCAAAATTTTGGTTTAATTTAATTAATTTTTTTCACGTTTCGTTTCGTGGAAAGCCGGTCATTTAGCCTACATCCACCTTCTAAGTAAACTCCTGCACTAGAACGTAAGAAACATTCAATATAAAAATAAAGTAAAAATAAATAAAGATAACTTGGACCCTGTAAATGTACTAAAACTCCACAAGTGGTCCTCCTCCCCTCCCTAGCAAATGCCAGTAGATTGCAAATGAAACATAAACTTGCTGTCAACAGATCATTCTGCATTATCAAAACACATTAATAATAATAATAACTTTATTACACTACTATGCCATCAGAGGGTGCAGTATGGTAAATAAAATACAAATCATAAGAAAAAATACAGTAGCTAGACTATAAGATAAAATTAAAAATAAAAGATGTTAAAAGCTTAATAGGAAAAACAAATTAAGGATAGTTACAGGATTCTCCCAATGTAGAGATGATAGCTATCATATACCTGATTTCTGTTTTGCCTTATTTAGAAACTTTGCCAGGGGTATGAAGCACGTCATTATTTTAATGAAATTATCTGTTTTATTTAGTTTATTTTTAATTCCTATTTCCTGAAACAGCTCCCCTCTTTCTTTATTGAGAAATTCACAATCTAGGATAAAATGTTGTTCGTCCTCAACTGAATTAATGAGCATATGCAATTCTTCACATTTTGTACAAAGAGTCGCCACCCTGTGACTGTTTAGGGAGATCTTTCCCAATTTCGGTGGGAAATCCATTACTTCAATTATATTGTTATTATTACAATCACCAGGGTAGGGATAGATAATACCTAGTCGTTATATACACGATACGCAAGAAAACGCAGCTAAGTGAGATTATCTTGCGCACATGCAGACTATGAAGGTCTCATGCCACTAATTAACCAATGGCTGCTCGTAGCCCTCAATTTAAATGCCCAGCAAGAACCAATGAAATTTTTTAAATATTATTTTTCTCAGGTGCTCCCTGTTTGAGGGCGTAATCACCTGGGTCAGAGGTGAGACCAACATGTGGTCTTTTGTTTACTACTTAGCGGCTGTGTACCTGTGGGTTTATTCTGTGTGTTAATGGATGTTCTAATCTTGGTGTTTTTCCAGTGATTTCTCTTGGTGCAATCCAAATACAGTAGGTGTGTCTTGTTTACCTGAGATTTGCAAGAGTTTGAGCTGGCCAACATGTTAGTTTTTTTCATATGGTTGATTACTGGCATGTTGATTTCCCATTTTTGAGCCATATTTTCAACTTTCTTCGTCATTTTCATATAGCAATCTCGTCATATGTTAACATTGTCGTCTATGGAAATTCAATTAGTGGTATGAGCCCTGAAGAAGAAATGTGTTAACTCTATATAGGATTTTGTGTGATAGAACTGTAGAGGGCGATTCGGGGGGGGGGGGTGCTCGCATATTTTCCGTACAGCCCTATTTTAAAATCAGCTGTTTACCTCTCCTGTTTTCAAGCAAGCAACACGTTTGATTATGACTGATCGGTTCCTACTAGACATCACCGTCAATTTCAAGTCTATTATGAAGAGGTTGCTTCTGGTTAAACGAAAGGAGACCCATGCAGTTAACAAGACAGTTTATCTAGTTCTGATGTGATGAGTAAGTACCACGTTTTCGGGCCTAGTCCTTACGAGTCACTCCTAGCTAAGTTTATAAAGCAGTTGATTTCTGTTGACATGGTGCCCTTTGACTGTTAAGGAGCCTTACATCTAAGTGGTGAAAACTGCCTTGGTTCAACACTACATCTAAAGTATCAAGTCGTAATTAGGAATGCTGGTTAGCTTGACATAAAAATCATGTTTGGTAAGTATCTGTTCATGTCGTCAGAAAAACTTTGTTGAAGGTCTATTTCTTGAGTAACCTTGCTTAACTAGGTTTGCAGCTAATGAGCTATGT